CCAAGGACTTTGTGCAAGATAGTCAGCATTGACTGGAAAGTTGAATTTATATGGGCTTTGGAATTCTCTCCAATAAGATTCCATGATTCTAAATTAATCTCCCTTTATAAACTGAGGAATAAATTGAGGCCTGGAAGTGAGTGATTCGGACAAGTTCACCAGCCAGGACTGGAATTCACTCCCCGAGATGTATAATCTATTGTTTTCTCCAATGCAACTCACTTCCTTTCTCATTGAGAAGAAAAGAATGCACCAGAAAATATGGTGAGGGCAAATAAAAGTAATTTGGAAGCGAAATGATTTGACATCTGTGTCTACATCAGGGGTACGCTGTACTTGAGAGGTTAGACAATGAAAGAGATACTAGTGGTTTGTCTGCCCTGAGGCCACCCTCTACCCGGGCTACTCACAGTGACAGTGGCCAGCAGCCCCTCAGGGACATTGGCCACAATGATGCCAATAAGGAAAATGACAGCCTCCAGCCAGCCGTAGCCCAAGAAAATGGAGAGCGTGAAGAAAACGATACCAAGGAAGACGGCCAGTGAGGTGATCATCTGAATAAAGTATTCAATCTCTACAGCAATGGGGGTCTTGCCAACTCTCAGGCTGGAGGCCAGGGTGGCAATGCGGCCCATCATTGTGGAGTCTCCTGTGGAAACCACGATGCCCCGGGCTGTGCCTGTGGATGAAGCGGGGAGTCTCAATTGGGAAGGATATTAGATTTGGTTAATACAAAAGCTGTCAGTGGTCAAACACAAGGTGGAAACTCCAGAACCTCCGAGAAGTCATCATGTTCTATTCTCCTCATATTTAGCTTCTACAAATAAGGGTCTCCTAATCTAATATATATATCTGAAGAGATTTCACAGAGATACCCAGTTTTTTTGCCTGATTGTCTTCACTGTCAAGAAGGTCTACATTACACTTAATTTAAATGTCTTCTATTGCCTATATGTTTCTTAGTGTGCCCTCAGTAACTGAAAGTTTCCAGATCCCCAGAAATAGAGGGCACTCATCTGCTAGAGTCCTATCTTTGTTCCAGTATTTTCTTATCCTCTGACCCATTGGTTCTCACTTGGGGGCCATTTGTCCCTCAGAAGACATTCGACAATGTGTAGAGACAATGTCACAACTGGGTGGGAGGGCGTTGCTACCGGCATCTCGTGGGTAGAGGGCAAGGATGCTGCTAACCATCCTGCTATCCCAGGGCAGGCCTTTTCTCCCCATACAGTAAATTATTCCGCCCAAATGTCAATCGTGTTGAGGTGAGGAACCCTGCTCTGACCTGAGCCTCCTCCCTGCTTTGCTGGCTGGAGCCAGCCTGACCCCTGCTGGGTAGGATAGGCCATCACAGCTAGGCTTCTGTGTTCTTCCCTCCGCCAGCACTGCCTCAATCAGAAGGGGAGCTGGGACGTCCTGTTTGGCTTTACACACACCTGCTGCAGACCACTCCCCTGCATGGCTTGAAGTGAGGGGCCTGGCAAGGTTCTTAACTCAAAACAATTCTTCCTGCTTTACCACAATGGCTGAAATTCCTCCCATTAAAGTCACAGCCAGAACTGCCCAGAAAAGCAACATATTATGGAAATAGTACTTGTTTTAGAATCAGAAAGACTCAGGGCCGAAATTTCAACTTCCTAATATTCCCGCTGTGTGCCCTGGGGCAAGTTACTTAGATGCGGTGAGATGCAGGTTTCCTCGTCTTTAAGGGGGGATGGAAGCACCTACAAAGCTGTGAGGAATAAATGTTTCTAAAAGAGCCTAGAAGAGGGCTGGGTACATAGTAGGCACTCAAATATTAGTTTAATCCTTTTCTTCATTTAGATGAATTCGGGGTCTCCAGAAGGGCAGACATAAAGCCACATGTGTAATTAGCGGGGCAGCTCTAATCTGGCCGCTCCCACGACATCTGTCCTATATTTCCAAAGTCCCCGTCAGCTGGATGAGTCTCAGAACAGGGTCCTGTTCAGACAGCAGACAGGTCAGGTCGGTGTTAGGTGGAGGTTCTGGAAAGTTCCCAGTCGGAGGTACTCTCCACATGCGTTTCAGACTGGTTGCCAGAGGCATTCATTGAGTTTTGTGACAGGAAAATACTAAAATAATTGAGAGGTGCTCAAAGGGTTTATATTTTGGGGGCGGGGGAATAGAGTAGGGTGTCACCTATATCTCTTTCACCTATATCTATAGGCTAGTTCAGAGTTTAGTCTAGTTCTTCTTTTTCATTCACTGTGCTATGGTTTGTTTCCCCATGCTTGGAGAGAAGGGGTTTAATAACTAATCTCAATGTGTCTAGAGACTGGGTGGGTTGATGGCAACCGTGGGGAAGGTTAACAAGGCCAAGCCTCCTATATCCCATTATAGCCTTCCATATAATGCCAGAGCTACAGCTTGGGCCCCCATGCAGATGCATGAGGTCCCAAAGAGCAATGTCTGTACAAGCAGCCCTGTCAGAGTCCACAGAGATGAAAGCAGAGAGGCAAAGATCCGGGGTCAAGGTCAAAGCTATGCTACTAGCGTGCAGATGTCACAGGAACCCCTCAACCGAACAGTCAAGAGCTCTTCAACCGAGCTCCACCCTCTCGGTCACATTTTGGATCCCTCAGGTCTCCTCCTCAAGCTCCTCCATTCTAGCCAGATGCTTGTGTCTCAGGTGGAATGCCACCACCCACCTTCCCTCTTATGTGATGCATAGACTTTGCTGACAAAAAATTTACCTTGGAAGGAGAAATTTGATGAAATTTCTTCCTAAAATTTGTGGGGAAAGCTTGCTAACTTCCATCTTTGTGTTCAATCAAATTTTTTAAAAAATCATTTTGATCTATTTTTTACTTTCCAGTTGAATTTTTTTGCCTTAATGTTACTTTATCTTATAAGTTAATTCCAAATAAACTAATTTTATTACCAGATAGGTCATTAGCAAGCTTTATTCCCAAGGCGGGTCTGGAACTTGCTTTAGAATCCTTGACCCTCTTTTTTCTGTTGAGTTGCGCTCTTGGGTACTGCATTTACTTTCTTCAAACCTTAGTCTTTCATGTGGAAAAGAGGGATAATGTCTATTGTATAGTGTTCTGAGAATCAGAGCTATCTGTAGCACTTGACACATACTAAGCATTCCATTGATAAAAATAGATACCCAAACATTGATTCTTCAGTATGAATAATGACTTTAAAGTGTGTCCATTGAGTCGTGCAGACCTCCTTAAGGGGAAAAGGTGAAGTTGACATCATAGTATTGAGTCCATTGTGACCACTTTGGCCAGAGATACCAGGAGCAACGCTGGATGGCACCTCTGGGAACTCCAATTTCCAATGCCCATATCCTCTTTCTGAATAGTAAGAAGATAGGGTTTACCTCAGGAGAAGAATGACCTAGGAAGGCTGAATTTTTTTCCTCCCTTCTGTGCTATTTCCAGTTCACAGAACACAGTCCATTCACTATCTAGAATAATCATAGGCCGCTTACAATGTGTTAGGTCTTGCGTGAAGCATTTTATGTATTATTCCTTTAATCCGCATAAAAATCTACAGGGTAGTGACTTTTAGCATCATCATCGTACAAATGTGAATGTGATGGCTTTGACCTTTTACCAAGGTCACACAGCTCATGAATAATGGAGAGCCTAGACTACTGGCCAGCTGTTACCTACCCTACTACCTTTAGAAGATAGAGACTTCCTGAATTCTTTCAATCTCTGCTTTTGAATCAAGGATATTTATGATGCAACTAGATGCCAGGTGCAGGAAATTCGTGCATGAGGGCAAAGGTGTCCCTCAGCCTGGCTGGCACCGTCTCCAATCTGAGACCCCTCGGGGGATGTCTGACTGCCAGTTTAGGCCTGATCCCTGCAGGGAGTTGGACATCCATCTCGCAATCCAGGACCGCTGGCTCCTAAGCACTCACCTGCCTGCCAGCTGGATCACCTTAACTGCTCTCCCTTGCCAGTCTGATCGCCCCTAACCACCTCTGCCTCAGCAATGCCACCATGGCTTTTGTCCAGAAGGTCGTCTGGAAAAATTCCGGTCTAATTAGCATATTACCCTTTTATTAGTATAGATATTCACCTTCCACACAGTTGGTGGAGAAGAAGCACATGTTCCTGGTCTCCAGAGGATTCTCGTGGGTGAAGTCAGGGGAGCGGGTTTGGGGGTTGGACTCTCCCGTCAAGGATGAGTTGTCCACCTGAGATGGGAAGGAGTCATAAGGTGAGCACGAGGAAAAAAGAATTATTTATAAAGACGACACAGCTATGTCTGCCACCAGCTCATCATTACTGAGGTGCAGAGAGAAACACAAATTGACACATTAGCATCTTCTTGTCTCTAACCTCAAATCTGCACTCGGTAACTTCTCAAGGTTCTGAATAATAAGACTGTACTTTCTTTCACTGAGCCCAGGTCACCGCAGGGCCTCAAGGCCATGGTTGGCTCTCCCTCCCCTAGCTGCCCACATCGCCTCACCTTACATCCCTGTGCGGAGATGAGCCGGATGTCCGCGGGGATTCGGTCGCCACCCTTCACTTCTACCAGGTCTCCCACCACCACATTTTCTACATTGATCTGCATCTTCTCTCCATCTCGAATTACTAGAGCTTGCTGTGGGAAGATAGTACAGGGTCGGAAAGCTTTCCGCTCCCCTAATCCTGTTCCTGGCCTCCAACCTTCTGTTCCTGGTCTCCTTCCTTCTGGCTCCCCTTTCTCATACTGTCACTCACCACATCATCTTTACATTTTTATTGCTAAATGTGTTGGTGTAACATTGGACCCTGACCAAGTTGCTCAGTTGGTTAGAGTGTTGTCCCCATGTCCCAGGGTTGTGACCCATACAAGAACCAATCAATGAACAAATAAACAAGTGGAGTAACAAATCCATGTCTGTCTCTTCTCTCTCTCTCTTGTCTTTTTTCTCAAATTATCAATAAAATTTTTTTAAAAAAGAAAAAATAACTGTATTGGGGTAACATTGGTTAATAGTATTATATAATTTTCAGGTGTACAGGATTATAATTCCTGAAGGGCTCTTGGTAGATTGCAAATTCTTACCATTGCTGTTTGCAGGGCTCCTTGCAATGTGACTTCGATGCTTCTCCCACTAAGAGATGGGGTCTATCTCTACAAACCTACACTTGGGCTTGGCTATAGTTTGCTTTGTCCCATTGGACATTGGCAACTGCAATGCAAGGGTAGGCTTAAAAGTGCGTGTACACCGGGGCTTGCCCTGCTGTCACTGGGAATCCCTCTGCCGCCATCCTGAGCAAGCCCACGCTAGCCTCCTGGAGGAAGAGAGATCATAAGGAGAACGGCCCTAACTGGCCCCAGTAATCTCAGCTGAGAGCTCAGGTTTGTGAATAAGGTCATCTTATACCATCCAGTATCAGCTAGATTTAACTCAGATCAGAACAGCCAAGCCATAGAACTGTGAGAAATAGTATGTTTATTGTTTTGAGCACTGAGTCTTGGAGTGGTTTGTTAGGTAGCAAAAGCTAACTGATAGCTTCCCAACTCCTAGCTCATTCTACTGAAACATGTCCCCAGAATTTTTACCGAAGGAAGGAATTACGTTATGCTCACATCAAAGAGAGATACTGACCCTGGGCTACAGTGCCAGAACACCAGCATGCTGTTGGAAATTTGGGAGCCTGTTCCTACCCAACTTCCCAGTCCTGTGTCCAGGAACCTCTTTCTACTGTCATATTATTTCCAGGTACTTAAAAAACATACATTTTATCTGAAAATTTAGAAAAGTTGACAGAATAAAAATTATACCAAAGATGCCAGTGTAACCTTTACCCAGATTCACCTATTAACATCTTATCCCATTTGCTCTATCGTTTGCTCTTTGTTCTACATATGGGTGTATGTGAATCCTTCTCTCCCTGAACCATTGGAGGGTAAGTTACACACATCAGGATCTTTTATTATACATTGTTATGTTCATTTCCCAAATATTAGGATATCAAATAACCACAATACAGTTATCAATTTCAGTGATTTCACGCTGGCACAATATTTTAATCTGTTTGCATTCCAGTTTTGTCAATGGACCCAGTTTATCTTTTACAGCGTCCTTTCTCCTCCAGCACAGGAGTCAGCCTGGGGCCAGGCATTCCATTTAGTTATCATGTCTCTTTACCCTCTTTTAACCTGGAACATTTCCACAGTTGTACTTTATCTTTAAGGTCATTGACATTTGAAGAATCTAGCCTCCCCAACTTCCTTTGCCCCCCCCCTTTTTTTGAAAAATAGAATGTGCTCATTTGGGGCTTCCTATTATGCTCATTAGAGTCAAATGATGCATCTAGAGACCACTTCACAGGTGCTGCTGTGCCTTCCTCGGGGTACTTTGAAGGCCAGATAGAGGAAAATTGAAGTAAGCGTCACCCTCATCACTAGCCTTACTCATTGTGGGACATAATCTTCCCCAGGACTTAATAATAATGCATTTGGCCACGTTCTATACCTCCTGTCACTCGATCCTCTCAGCAGTCCTACCTGAGGCACCAAGTTCTTAAAAGACTCCATGATCCTGGAACTCTTGGCCTCCTGGAAGTAGGAGAAGCAGCCAGTGATGAAGACCACAACAGCTAACACAATGCCCAGGTACAGCTGGGGGTGGGGAAGGAAAGGGCTTGTTAGTAGATCCTTTTCTTCCCCTTCACCCTCAGGAAACTGCAAGGAGAAGAGTCATTTCTCCAAGTGCAAGAACCCTTAGGACTCAGTTGGAGAGTCAGGGGCTGAGAAGAGTCCAGACAGGGCTGGCTTCCTTGGCTTCCTGGTGAAGGAACCCTGGTAAGGGGCCAGCAAAATCCCAGGTCCATGAAGGCCTACCCTCTCCTCTCAAACAAGGCTATTTATGCCCTAACTGGTTTGGCTCAGTGGATAGAGCGTCGGCCTGCGGACTCAAGGGTTCCAGGTTCGATTCCAGTCAAGGGCATGTACCTTGGTTGCGGTCACATCCCCAGTAGGGAGTGTGCAGGAGGCAGCTGATTGATGTTTCTAACTCTCTATCCCTCTCCCTTCCTCTCTGTATAAAAAAAATCAATAATATATATATATATTTAAAAAACAAGGCTATTTATGGGGTGGGGGGGCAGAGAGTGAAGGAGAAGGGGAGGAAAGAGATGAAGAGATTGACGTGCTGGGAAAGAGAGAGGGACTGCAAAGGGCTATGATGATCAGTTGGGAAGATAATCAAAAGAGAGCAAGTTTCTAGAGGGGACCATGCAGCTCAGTGACCTGAAGCAGTAGCTTTCCAGTGAAAAGACCAGGGAAGCCAGGAGGCATGGAGGGCTCCGTTAGGAAGTCCTGGGAGTACCAGGGATTTGGGCTTCAGGACTCCGGGCTGCTGAGCAGTAGTGTGTCAGGGATAAGCAGAGACGGGGCCGGGCGGTAGTAGGTGAACAGACTCACGTTATCTCTCGTAGCTTGCTCATGAAAATATAACTGGATGCCGTAGGCCAGGAAGCAGAGAATGGCGCCAATCCACAGGAGGATGGAGAAGCCACCAAACATTTGTTTACAGAATTTGACCCATTCTGGCGTGGTGGGGGGTGGGGTAAGTGTATTGGGTCCATTTCGAGCCAGGATTTTCTGTGCCTCTTCGGAGCTAAGGCCCTATGTGAAGAAGAAAATCATGAAAAACAGAAAAGAAAAAAACAGCTATACAATAAAAAAAATGTATTTAAAAGAAAAGAAAAACAGCTATAGCGAAGGGGAGTCTGGCTTCATAACTCCAATCTGCCATTATAGCCCCAGGATGGGTCTAGAGACCAATAAGTTTCTCTGAAGGTCAGACTGTAAGTTCTTCCTAGATAAGTAGGATTTTAAAACTTATGCTACAGGAGGGATATGGGATGATTCACAAACATTTTTTCTTTATTGATTAAGGTATTACATATGTGTCCTTATCTCCCCACTACCCTCCCCCCCACTCAGGCCCTCACCCCCCTGGTATCTGTGTCCATTGGTTAGGCTTATATGCACACATACAAGTCCTTTGGTTGATCTCTCCCTTTTACCCCCACCCTCCCCTATCTTCCCTCTGAGGTTTGACAGTCTGTTCGATGCTTCTCTGTCTCTGGATCTATTTTTGTTCACTGGCAAACCTAAACAGAATTCCACTGAGGATGTCTATGCATTTCTAATTCCTGCAGTGAGGGGCAAGAATCTTCTGGCATCTGCTCCAGTTAGCTATGGTGAATTGTGCTGCTATGAACATAGGGGGGCATATATCCTTTCTGATTGGTGTTTCTGGTTTCTTGCGATATATTCCTAGAATTGGGATCACTGGGTCAAATGTAAGTTCCAGTTTTAGTTTTTTGAGGAGACTCCATACTGTTCTCACAGTGGCTGCACCAGTCTGCATTCCCACCAGCAGTGCACGAGGTTCCTTTTTCTCTGCATCCTTGCCAGCACTTGTCATTGGTTGATGATAGTCATTCTGACAGGCGTGAGATGGGACCTCTTTGTCATTTTGATTTGCATCTCTCAGATGATTAGTGACTTTGAGCATGTTCGTATGTCTCTTGGCCTTCCTTATGTCCTCTTTTGAAAAGTATCTATTCAGGTCCATTGCCCATTTTTTGATTGGGCTGTTTATCTTCCTTTTGTTAAGTTGTCTAAGTGAGTCACAAACTTTTTGAAAACCCATCATGGGCCTAGTGCTCTGGTAAGTTACCAAGTGAGTACAAATGGTCCCTATGTATATGGAGCGCTAACTTTAGTGGGGATACTTTATAATACAGCAATAATGCGCAAGGCTCATGTAATAATGGGACACAATACGAATGTCAATAACATATGGACTGGTCCCACTTTGCCTCTCTAGCTAAGAAATAGGAAAAAAATAAAACAGTGACATACTTGAATGCATAGATTCTCACGTTAGCCTTGTGTAACCTTGCATACTGTTTCCTCGGGAAGAAAATAAAATAGCAGAACCTACTAGAGGACTGTAAAACAAACTCTCATCCCCATCCGCTCCCCAACCTCCCTCTGAAAAATATACAATTTTCAAGACAAATATACAAGACAAGCCGCCTATGCTCCTCCTTGGTTCCCAGATGAAGCCTCTCCCTGAAGAAATTCTAGACCTAAGAGGAGCCTACATTGTGAGAGCTTGTCTTCAAGCTTTCTACCTGTGGTCATGGTAGAAGCCATGGCGACTGGAGCAGCAGTGGTAGCAATGGTCACAGTAGTAATATATGATTTTACTGTCAAACCAGCGGTTCTCAGTGTGGTCTGGAGAGCCACGGGGTGCCAAGACTCTCATGGGGGCCCTCACGTACATACAATCTTCATAACCATCCCAAATTGTTGGCTGTCTTTTTCAGTCTCATTCTCTCGAGTATACAGTGGAATTTCCCAAAGGCTATATGATATTGCAACAGATTGAAGGCTGAAAATATAGGAGAATCTAGCTGTCTTCTATTAAAAAGCTAGACATGAAAGGGGCTTGCAAAAATGTAAAATGCCACTACATTTTTTATTTTGAAAAACAGTTATTTGTCGTAAAATTATTATTTATTCTAATACACATATGATGGGCCTACTCTCATTTAAAATGAGTTAGAAAATAGTTTTAAATTTCTCCACTTGAATTTCTAATATGCTAGTTATAGATGACGTGACCCTCAGAAGCAAAGCTCTTGGGTTCTTTGATGACTGAGTGTAAAAGGGCCCCAGGGACAAAGGTGTGAGAAGTGCTGCTCTAAACCGTGCTTTCATCCTCTTATCTGATGCTGAGCTCTTTGGGGGCTGTTACCATTATCATCTTTGCCAAGTGTGTGGCCTGTGAAACTTGTCTGCGTGGAGGTTAAGGGTAAGAGCATGGGTGATGGGTTTTGTCCTGGTCGCCTCCTGGGGGAGTGCCTTCACCCACCTTTGTCAGGTCCACGGAATACTTGGTGCTCAGCTGTTCCAAGGTTAATTTGTGGTCGTTCTGAAAAGACAGCAGAGTTATTGAGGGAGAGGTGGTGACCCTTGGCATTTCCAGGGGAGGGGGAGAAACACCTGGGGGGAGAGGGGTGGCTGGGGCCTGTGGGTAAGATGTTAAAAGGCGGAGGGTTGAGAACATTTTCAGAAGCCTTTGGGTCAGCATCCACTCTGGGCTTTCTCACCATGACCAACTCCTTCTTCAGTTCCTCTAGATCTATCTTCTTTTGCTGCTTCTTCGATATCTTTTTTTCACCCTTATTTGGCTCCACGTTAGGTGTTGGGCTGGGATTCTGCTCATGAGGAGCCACTGGTCCATTTTCCCCCTCAAGGGCCATAGTGGTCCCTGGACACAGCTGACCCAGTTCACCTGGTGGGAAGGAAGCAGAGCCAGGGAGTAGGGGGGCAGAGAGGGAGGAGGGGGTGAGGGGCGAGAGTGACAGGAATGATGGTGTGAGGGGCTGGAGAAGGGAGGAGGCAGAGCATTGAGAAGAACAAACTGGTGGGGAGAAAAGGAGGGAGCAAAGAGAAAGCGGAATGGAGAAGGCGGGCAGTGAGGATGAGAAGGGAAAGGGGAGAGAGGAAGAGAGGACTAAGGAGAAGACTAAGAGAGGAGGGCCAAGGCCAGAGGGGGGACACTAGAGAAAGAGGGTGAGGGGCGTGGAGGGTGAAGCAGGCAGAGATGGGAGGAGGGAGTGTAGGAATGGGGAGGGAGGGGTGAGAAGAGCCTGGGGCCCAGGAGAGTTACCTGGAGGCAAAAGGGGGAGCAGATGGAGCTGAGGAAATGAAGGTAATGGCCTGGGAGAAGAATAGGTGGATGGTAGCTAGTGCCTAAGTGATGAAGATGCCACAGGGACCTGAGCAGGTGGGCAATGCAGTGGGAGTGAGGGGCCAGCTGGGCTTCAGGGCATGCTGGGAGCCCCTAGTCCAGGCCCTGTGGTTGCCGTGGCAACAGCCCAGGTTTGCCATCACAAAGGCTTCATGAAAGTTCTAACGGAGGAGACGTAAGTCTCAGTCCCTGTGTGTGATCACACCGTTACTGAGGCATGGTCTCCAGCGGATTATCTCAGTTCTAAGAGCTCAGATAGCAGAATAGGTCAGATTTTGGGTGGGCTTTTGTTGTTAATTCTCACCCAAGGATATTTTTCCACTGATTTTTAGAGAGAGTGGGAGGGGGAGAGACAGAGCGAGAGAGAAACAACAATGTGAGAGAGACGCATTGCTTGGTTGCTTCCCACACGTGCCCCGACCAGGGGCCAGGGATGGAGCCTGCAACTAAAGTATGTGCCCTTGACCGGAATCGAACCCAGGACCTTTCACCCATGGGCCAATGCTCTATCCACTGAACCAAAATGGCTAGGGACTTGCTTGGGCTTTTAAATCAGTTCTGAGCCTGAATCTTGGCTCGTCTGCTTACTGATTGTGTGGCTCTGAAAATCATCATTTGGGTCTGCTAAGTTTTAAGATCGATTAGGGTAAATATGCTAGCATCACTGTTATCTACCCATTTGCTTCATAATTACTTTTAAAAACTCTGATATTTTTGCCCAATCATTCTTGAAGCTGAATGTCACAACCAACACGTCATGTTTTATAAAAATACAGTGAGAATTTTGAATTTTGATATCAACTCTTAAAATTTTAAATTTTTCCAATTAGTTGACATTCAATGTTATATTAGTTTCAGGTGTACAACACAGTGGCTAGATATTTATATAATTTACAAAGTGACCCCCTTGTAAGTCTTACACCCACCTGACACCTTACATAGTTATTACAATACTAGAGGCAGCTCCAACCTCCCCGCGGGCCGCTGGGGTGGGGGCCGCACACAGTATACATATAGATTATCGACTATATTCCTAAACTGCACTTTCCATCCCGTGACTATTGTGTAACTGCCAATTTGTACTTCTTTTTTTTAAAAAAATATATTTTATTGATTTTTTAAAAAATGTATTTTTTTTATATTCTGTAAACATGGTTGTTGTCCACATACAATGACTTTTTTTTAATATATTTTATTGATTTTTAACAGAGAGGAAGGGAGAGAGAGATAGAGAATTAGAAACATCGATGAGAGAGAACATTGATCAGCTGCCTCCTGCACATGCCCCACCGGGGATGCCCGCAACCCAAGTACATGCCCCCGACCAGAATCGAACCTGGGACCTTTCAGTCCGCAAGCCGACGCTCTATCCACTGAGCCAAACCGGTTTCGGCAATTTGTACTTCTTAATCCCTTCACCTTTTCATCCAGCTCCCCACCCCCACTCCCTTCTGGCAGCCATCGGTGTGTTCTCTGTCTCCATCTATGAGTTTGTTTCTGTTTTGCTTGTTCATTTGTTTTGTTTTTAGATCCCACATATAAGTGAAACCATCCGGCACTTGTCTTTTTCTGTTTGATTTCTTTCACCTACCATAATACCCTCCAGGTCCATCTACTGGTATGTTTTCGTAAACAGTGAGATTTTACTCTGTTTTATGGTTGAGACTACAATGTCCCATTGTGTATACATACCGCCTCTTCTTTATCCATTTGTCTTTTGATTGGAACATTTAATCAATTTACATTTACATTAATTATTAATAGGTATGCAGCTATTTTATTCCCTGCTCTCTGCTGTGTGGTGACTTTCTGTAGTGTGATGTTTGGATTCCTTTCCCTGGACTTTTTGCATATCGCTTGTAGGTTTTTGGTTTGTGGTTACCTGGCGCTTCATCTAGGCCCAGTATGTTTATAGCAGTCTATTTTATTTTTAAATTTTTTTTTTTAGCAGTCTATTTTAAGTTGATGGCTGCTTAAGTTTGAACACATTTTAAAATCACTACCATTTTTACCGCTCTGTCCACGTTGATGCTTTTGCCACTAATTTTTTACTTTTTGTGTGTGTGTGTTTGTATGTATCCCTGAATTTACTGTTGCAATTAAACATAATCTTTCTACTTTTGCCTTTTAAATTTTGTACTACCTTTAGTGGTGGTTGGTCTACTGCTTTATGATGTGTTTTCCTTTGTCAGTGAGTATTTTTTTCTTTGTGGTATTTAATTTTTTAGAGAGGAAGAGAGGGAGGGAGAAAGGGAGAGAGGGAGAGAGAGAGAGGGAGAGGGAGAGGGAGAGGGAGAGGAGAAGGGATAGGGACAGGGACATTAATGTGAGAGAGACACATGGATTGGTTGACTCCCACATGCATCCTGACTGGGGCCGGGGAATGAACCTGTAACTCAGGTACGTGCCCTTGACTGGGACTCTTTGGTGCACAGGCCAACGCTCCAACCATTAGCAACGCTGTCCAGGGAAGTACACATTTTATTTCTTAATGATAATATCTGTATTGGTAAAGGTGGCAAGAAAAGTGTCTCTATACTGATGGTGGTGAAGAAACTGGCACAACCCTTTGGGAAACAACTGACAATATGGACTCAACTAGAATGTGTACCCCCATGTTCACAGCAGCGCTATTCACAATAGTCAAAAGGTAGAAGCAGCCCAGGTGTCCATTAATGGATGAATTAAAAAGTGTGTTATATACACACATGAAAGCAAGTGGTTATGCTGTGAACTAGGCTGGCTGCCTCTGGAGCCTGGCTTTCCGCTACTTAGCGAGAGGAACAGGGCGCGCTGAGCCAGCCTGCTTGTTTGGGTTTGTGGACCTTTTGGAGGTTTCAGGAAAGTCTGCAGCAGGGGTCCGGGCTGGCAGCTTGAGCGGATTGGCCTCTGAAAGAGGCCGGGGCCTGAGCCTGAACCGGGTGAGGCAGGCCTGAGGGCTAGCTGAGTGAGCCCTGTTGGTGGAGACTCAGATTTGACACTCACCTGTGCCTGCAAGGGGGCAGCTCAACAAAGCACCAACCAAAGCAACAACAGTGCCTGCTGGCACGTTAGTCCTGGACAGCAGAGCGGTCCTGCACCCTTCACTCTGAAGCCACAATTCGGTTCCTCCCCATATATTCACGGCACGTTCAAAGCGCTGGATTTTAGAGCAAGTGTTTGTGAGTGAGTGAGTCTAAGACAATATGACATCTGGGTCTACAGCAGCCCCCTGTCTCCCCCACAGATTTGATTGACTCTTTATAGTAACTTATTTTTATCTTTACTACACTCTGTATTCCCAAACAGCAGTTGAATTTAGCTCAGAGAACAACGCATTCATGTTTTTATTACTCTGACTGTGCTTTTCTTTAAAAAGTAAAAACTCTATATCCAAGTCACCATTGAAAGCAGGATTCTTTTTTTTTTTAAATTTTTTTTTCTTTTTTTAAAAATTTTTAATATATTTTATTGATTTTTTACAGAGAGGAAGGGAGAGGGATAGAGAGTTAGAAACATCGATGAGAGAGAAACATTGATCAGTTGCCTCCTGCTGAGCCAAACCGGTTTCGGCTGAAAGCAGGATTCTTATTCATTAACTAGAGGCCCAGTGCACGAAATTCGTCCACTAGCATGGTCCCTCGTGGGTGCTGGCTGCCAGCCAAGGCCTCCCTCCGTTCCCCTGGCCAGCCCCGCCCCCTGGTCAAACTCCCGGATGGAGGCGATAATTTGCATGCTACGCTTTTATTATATATAATTATATGTCTTGCCCACTTTCTTCAACAAACCTGGTGTCCTATAATGAGGCTCCTTTCTTAACAACTCTGACTGGTTGCCAAGGAGACTCCACAGCCACCCTGTATAAGCTCATGTTTCCCCGCTTCCTTTCTGCTAAAAAGAGGGTAACTCCGGGGTCAAGGGCAAGAGGTTAGGGAACTAGAGGCTATGGATTCAGCCTAATAACAGAGAACTGAAGGGAACAGTATGTTCCCTCTCATTCCACCTATCAGCAGGACACGTACTTGAGTTCACATGATAAGACGTGAAGTTTTACACATGAAGGAATACTGTTTCAAAACAGTCGGAATATCCTTCCTTGCAAAAACCCCAGGGGAATTGGCATCTATCCCTGGCGTCACTAGAGTCAGATTTCCCTAATAAGAGAAACTCTGTTATTCTGGAAAAAAAAATTGTTCTTTATAGTCAATCCGGGCAGAGGGAAGGATAGTTCCAAATGTTTGGGTTTCTGGAGACGGTTTATTGCTCCTCTTCCAGGACTGGGCCATTGATTCTTGCATAGAACTCTGTGATGCTGGCTCTTCACGGCTTTCCTCTGCAACTCTGTGGTCCATACCGTCAGTGTCACTGTCTGCTTCCTCAACCTCTTCACTGGAGGTTCTCCAGTCAGGATCGAGTCAGAGGGCCCCGCACAGGAGAAAAGCTGTCTGGAGCAGTTCCCGTGTCCAAGGCCACAGAGCCCCCGTCTTTCTGTGGGTGGACCTGCTGTCCTTTCTGCTGCAGGCTCTGTGC